TCTTGGATACTACTCACGATATGGGCGGTATCTATAATACGGATAATAAATATCTTTAGGACTCGTGTTAAGTTTTCGAGGGAGATAAAGTGTATAATAAGATATAGAGAAAGCGTTCGGTTTATATAGGTATACCGAATTTTATATAGGCGGTAGTATAAGGCCCGTGGAGTTATTATCTTAGAGCCACCCTTCTATTATAAGGTTATTCTTAATAACGACGGTATGGGTGCTCTTATAACCCCGCGCCAGGTCGACACCCTGCTAGGCCACTTCCGGCAATTGTTCTCCCTTACCGCCCGCCGACTTTTGGCATAACACTTTAGCGGGGAAATAATCTTAGCATAGCGGGTAGGGTATCTTTATAAGGCCTTACGGTTTCTCGTATATCCTAAACAGCCAAGCCCTGCTGTACTAGGAATATTTGCCCTAGTAGGTGGAATCACGTGCGGGGGCCGATAAGTGGTTATATGCAAAGAATAGTCCTCGAGTCCGGGCCGGCCTATACGCTAAGCTAAGTTTGAATAGTCTTAGAATATACCCACGAGTTATTCTACGGAGTAAATAAGCACTTAAATTACTACTAAAGTGTTTACTTAAATCCTATATCAGCCTTCGTCTCTGGATCACCCTCCGATACCACCGTATTAAAGCTAGTTATTTTAATTTTATCTTCCTTAGGTTACTCGGTCGAGTCGTCCGGAGGGTTAACCAGTTCGGTTCTTACTATTAGTCTAATTCCGGTCGACTAGGTTAGAATAGACCTTACTAGAGAGCTTAGAGGAGCTAGCTTCTTATCCGTAATTCCGTCTATATCCGAGATAGCCTGCTTTTATTTAGTACTTATCGGAAGACTAGATATCGAAGGTAACTAGCTTTTTCTATATTTTAGGTTTTCCCGTAAGAATTACTATAGATATACGAAAGTTACCCCGAGCTATATTAATATAGGGTAATCTCTAAGCTAACAGGCCCTCCTCGACTTACGGATTAAAATTACCTCGGATAACCTATTATCGTAGTAGCCTTTATAGCCTCTCCCGTAAGCAGACCTTTAACGCTATAACTTTACTTCTTTATAATATAGTACGCCCGACGTCTAACGATAAGAAAGCGTTACTATCTAAAAGTGCCGCCTACCTAGCTATATAACCCCTCCTTCCGTGACTAATACAAGAACTGCCCCTCTAGCATCCAAAGACATATATCCCGTTCCTTCTAAATACCTATTACGGTCCGATCTAGCGATAGATAAGCCTTAGAGTAATAAAACACCGTAAACTTAAATCTATCGTTTCTCTACCCGTATCCGGTAACCTAGTTATAGCAGATAAGGTAAGCAGTTTATTACCCGAATAATATACTAGTAATTCTAATAAGAAGAACCCTTACGAAGCCGACCCTTAGGTTATAGTCAAATACGATAGGGTTATCGTATAGGAGGCTTACGAAGGTAGTAGGATCGATATTAGGTCTATATATAACGTAGGTAAGAATACGAAAGGCACTAATAAACCTAGCGAAGTCAGAATTCCTGCCGGGGAAATAGTAATTATATATCCTAGGGCTATATAATTCAAGATCCGAAGAGAATAGGATCCTACTTAGATAGCTATTATACTATAGGGAACACTTAAGTATAGAACTCCTAGCCCTTCTAATAACTATCTGTTAATAATTTCAGAATATAATCGCGGCTATCCATAGTTCTAATAATTTACATAATATTGTTATTTACTATATTAAGCCTATATACCTTAAAAAGACTATCGCTAAAAAAGCCTCGTATACTCTTTACACCCCCTTAGTTCTTTCTTTTCCGAATCTCCTCCCTAACAGCCGTAGACACGAATATATCCACTTTATAAGGTAAGCTAGCACTTAGGGGTAGTCGTATAACTCCGAGTCTAGTGCCTAATAGGAGCGTTTCCTGATTTCTAGCGTTAGTACTATAGAGTTTATTAAATAAATCTTTCCGGAAGCAGTGATAAACACAGGCTAAAGCCGCCTATATTACTATAGTATAGCTTTAAAAATCAGTAGCTATAAAGTATCCTAGCTATAACTTAATAATAGCGTCTTTTTTATTAGCTCGTAGATTAGTTAAGTAGTTAGTAGGATATAAGGCGCTATATACTAAATAGGTAACGGGTTAGTATTTAAGGCTATAGTCGACGGCCGTCCTAGGCCGATATTACGATACCTTAAGTCGATCATGGAAGTAATCACTTATATCTGCTTAGCTAGCTATTAACTCTAGAGGATACTCTAGTAAGTGCGAGGCTCTATCCGTATATAAAATATTATTCGTGCCCGACTAATCTGCACCTAGCACGACTTAATTAAAAGCGGGAAGTGTTCACTAGCAGTCTCTCCTGCCGTCTATATTAAGACTAACGTCCTGAATCTCGCGACCGAAATCAGTATAATCTGAAAATTCTATATATTTATCACGGCGAAACTAAATACCCGGTATAGGCCGATCGAATACGGAAATCCTTAGCTAGTTATTCTCTGCACGGTATTAGGTAACGCCTATATCCTTATACGGAATATCGCCGGAGACGTGGCTTATATAAAAAATACCTGGGAAGTACGGGTTATAATACTATTACTCGTTATTCTCTAGGTTTCCTTTACTCCTAGGCTAATCTATCTTATACTTATAATACTATTATTCGTCGTTCTCTATTTAATCGGTACTCCGAATAATACTTTCCTCTCGGGCACCGGTAATAAAGTTATATAGAGGTAGAGCCTCCCCTATTCTACCCGAGCTACTATAATAGACTTTACTAGTTACGTATTATCTTATCTTTTATCGCTTACTTAATCTTAGAGGTAAGACTGCTTTAGCGATTAAAGGAGAAGGACCTAAGAGGATATTTATAGTTATTAGCTTAGATATAATAATATAAGATAAAGCTTCTACCCCTAGGCGCCTTAGCTATTACGCTTCTTAATATTCTTTACGTTCTTTACGTTATTTATACTACTAGCACCCAGCCCTTTAGGCGTATATTTTCGACGTTTTCTTAGCTAATTTAGATATTAGGTATAATTCTCTTTAAGGTAATAGATAATAAGCTTCCTCGAAGCGTACGTCTATCGGAAACTCTAGAAATCCTCTTCGTTATTAAGGAGGTTTACTTCTAACACTTTATAGATTATCGAGTAGCTAGTAACTCTATTAGCCAGAAACGCTATAGTATTATAGCGCTCGAGGTAACTTACCTCTATTAATCTTTAAAGTAGAATATAACGAAAAATAGGATAAAAAGTAATAAAAAAGCTTAAATCTCGGGCGGAGGGCTATAATAAGGGAATAAGTCTATAAACTCGTCGTTTACGTCGGGGTCTTTTAAGCAGTTATCCTTATAAAAGCGGATACTCCTACCCTCTATAATAATATTAGTTTCTAATTAAGACGGAGTGCGAACCACTTACTAAGAAGAAATAGCTTAAATATATAATACCGGAGTCCGCGCCGGAATTAACGCTATATCTCTCCGATAAGCTATCGTACCGCCGAATAGTCTTTAGCGAGGCCCTTAGGCCCTTTGTTATACTTTCCACGATTTACTCTATAGAACTCTTATTAGGTATTATTAACTAAATGTTAGGGATAGCCTAGATATATCGCTACGTAGTATACCGCTAGGAATATAAGAGAAAGGAAACGGTAAGTCCTCTAACGAATACTTTCCGGTACTAGATAGGTGCTAATATTCCGTCTAAAGGTAGTTAAAGTAAGTTATAATTATAGAGTTAGCTCTATAGTATATATTCTAGAGTAACTATTATTATCTAGTCGGATTATCGTTAAGTAGTTAGCCACGCGAAGAATATCGTCTACCGTAGAGAAGTAATATCTTTTACTCTTCTCGCACCACTTAGCCTTTATCTTAGGTAGGCCCTTAAAGAATAATTCCGTTAATTTCCTTTATCGGTTTACTAAGGGATAGTCCGGTAATAAGGTCTACTCGGATAGGAGCTAGATCTTAAAGCGAAGACTTAGAGGCTACGAAGACCGGCTCCGGTATACCTTTACCTCCTCCTTAAGCCGCTAAATACACTAAGGTAGTAGGAGCCTAGTAGCGGTCGTATAAAGGTACCCAGCGTAGGTATAATTATCGCTAATAAATCTATCAATTTATAGGGCTAGTATCGTAAGCTACTAGGAGATTCTCTAGAGATTCCGAATTCTTCCTAAAAGAGTCCTAATCCGCGCTAAACGCGGCTTATATATATATACGCCGAAGTAAGTCTCGAGGCTACGCGTCTTATAATATTTATAAACCTACTATATTACTATTATATTAATAGAGTAGGTTATTATAGGTATTTATTATAGGGCCTAGATATAATCAGTATAAGGGCTACCTCCGGACTAATAGGAGGCCCTATATTAAGGGATTACGGGTCCGGAACTAACTAATTAGACCGGCTATAGGATACTCCTATAAAATAGTGATATAATAATCCACCTACTAAACAGTAATAGTTCTATATATATATATAAATTAAACTATAAGTCGTTATATAATCGTTAATTCCACTACTATTATTAGCGCTATTTATAATAGTATTCGCTTTATTATACGTAATATTCTGTTAGAAGAATACTAAGGCAAGTGGATACTAAGTAGTAAAAAGCATAAAATCGCTATACACGAATTCTATTATCATTTCTTACGTAGGGCTACCACTCTATGTATTTGATCCTTTTTCTCGGGTTCGTAATGCCTTTACCACCCTAGCTAAACGTACTCGGAAACGCCCTACTTCTTCACGACCTCCTAAATCCTTATAGCTTTATACTGGCTGCTTGTCACGCTATCGTATGCTGATGCTATCTAGATTGAATCCACGGAAATCGACGTAAAGATAGAGAACGACTTAGGCTTCTAAATAGAGGGAACGATGCAGAAGCGAGATAAAGCTTAGCGCCACGGAGGGTCGTTAACTCGTTATAATCCCGTCTGAATAGTCGCTTCTGTGTTCGTGACGTGGTCCAGATCACCGTCCTAATCATCCAACGTTAGGAGGCCGCGGAGGAAGACGACGCCTTGGTTACGATAGTAAGAATAAACGCTCTTTGTCTGGTACTGGAGAAGAGCTTTGTAGAGCTCGACGACCCTCTCCTCCAGCTGGCGTAAGACGGCCTGGAACTCGTTACCGGCGGCTATGGTATTGTCGTCCAGGAGATGTTCGGTTAAGGCGTAATACTAGTCCATTCTGGAGATAACGTGGACGATACCACTAAGGTTGGATTTCGCCGCCTGTGCAGGACTCCGGAGAATCTGGGCGTTTATTAGCAGACCAGAACGAGGGCAATGGGAGGACGATTACTTACGTGCAGCCCGAGGCAAACCCCTGCCTATGGAAGTGCAGCTGGTGCGGCTTGCGGGATGCTCTGGAGTACGACGTCGACTATCTTCTTAGCGGACAGGATGAAGTCGGCAACGTTGCTAACGCCGATTATTACCCTGGATGCTCTGGAGATTTTCTCCTGCCCCTTCTGAACCAACCTCCTTATATGCCTTTGTCTGTTAGTGGGATCCTTTAGCTTAGTCGAAAGGTTAGTCATAGATATCGTGGAATAGCGCCATATCTAGGTCTTAGCTTCGTCTAGTTGTAGTGCCCCGGCGGCACGGTCGTTATAACGCCGTTTATAATTCTCGCGTACGATTTACTCTCCCTAGGATCTATGCTAGCAGTAGTAGTAGCAGTAATATCATTATTTAACGACGGTAAATTTCTGAAAGGAGCAAAGGACGCCTAGTACGCCTACCTACTATTGCCATCATGAAATTACAGTGTGCCTACAGTGTGACGCAGCGAATCCGCAACCCAAACGCAAAGTAATAAAACATAATAAAGACCCAAAAGAGCGCACTGTGCTGGTGCAATATAAAGCTCTGCTTCCTTGATGCCGATCGAGATAGGCCCAGGGTTTTATACATGGTGATTTCAGAGAGCTGTGAGGCGTCGTACACCCACCAGCTGTTTTGTTGCTTTGCTGTTGCTTGCTATTGCTTATTATTCGGCGCCCTCGCCAGACCATTTCGCTAGCTCGGCTAGAAAGCCGTCAGTACCTGGGCTGAGTATGAACGATTAAGAGATATTTAGGACACCCCAGGAGCCCTGCGTTGCGCCATATTGATCACCGGGTTGTTGCAGTAAAGAAAGGGTAAGTGAATTCGAGTTGGGCGTATGGATGATAGAGAGTATATTCGGATGCGGAGAGAAAGTCGAGAGAGTATATATCGTCTGCTAAGAGGGCCTAGGGTGTTGTTGGCTGGATTGGTCGAAAGAAGGCTGAATAAGCATACTAGTGTGGAATGGTTGAGGCTGACCGTAGCTTGCAGGCTGCGTGGGATACGTCGCTAAAGGATTAGACGAGTAGGAATGAGTAGAGGTTTAAGCGGAATAGTAAAGGTGCTTATGCCGTAGTGTAGGAAGTTATTATATTAGTGATGGTTAATTTATTAAGCTATATAGATCTAGGCGAGGTTAAGGAAAAGATACTAAGCCCGACTATAATATATATCTTTAATATTCTATTAGAATAGTAGTAAAAGGGGAGGTCTACTATTACCTATTTAACTTAGTAGTAGAAATAGCCGGGTTAAGCAGGATTAAGTGCTAATAAAGTAGTATAAGACTTATTATATATTAGTAGGCAGCCTTAGGCTATTTAATAGGTTAGTAGCTATATATCTATATATCCCCTAAATAGTATTATATCTTATAAGACAGCGACCTATTATAATAATTCCTAGGTATTAAGATAATACGGGATTAGACTATATAGAAGATCTAGCTATTATAATAGGACTATATTGCGAACCTTAAACGGTTCCTATCCCTAGGAGTTAGTAATAATAAGCCGGCTTTACCGATATAGCTAAGTACCTATAATCGCCTAGGTATCTAGCGGACCGGCCTTAGCGTTAAGTAATATTTAAATAATCTTAGAATATACCTATAAGTTATTTATTATACGGAGTAAATAAGGAGTTAAATTACTACTCTCTTAGTATAATTTAATAAATAGCTTACTTAAATCCTATATTAGCCTTTATCTCTAGATTAGCCTCCGGTAGTATTAAATTAAAGCTAGTTATTTTAATTTTATCTTCCTTAAGTTACTTAGTTAAGTCGTCCGGAGGGTTAACCTATTTGGTTCTACTATTAGTCTAATTCTGGTCGACTAGGTTAAAAAGGACCTTACTAAAGAGTTTAAAGGAGCTAGCTTCTTATCCGTATTTCCGTTTATATTTAAAATAGCCTACTCTCATATTAGATAAGCGTTTTCCAATTCATCTAGTATTTACCGGAAGACTAAAAGGGTTATTACTACCTTTACCGCTACTTACGGTATCCGGAGCTAGATTCTCCGGGGGACCAAAGAAAGAACCCTGGTCGGGGTAATTATAGGCTCTAGTACGACCGGCAGGATCTAAAGCCGGATTAGCTATCTCCGAAGGAACGTTATCTAAGCCTCCTATTAGATTAGCCTAGTCGGCTCTCTTATTAGCCTAGTCTTAGTTAGCTAGCTTAAACAGGACTTACCGGGGAACTAATTTTAGAATTAGCCGTAAGAGGTTAAGGGTTACCTGCTATACCTAAACCTAAATCAGGGATCTTAGTGCTTAAGGGTTATTTAGGCTATCCGCTAGCCCGGTTATAGTAGTTCGGTATTAAGCTAGGTATTTTAAATTATAATATCTATAGTTATTATAATAGCGGTACCTATAGCGTCGGCTTAGAATATACCTTTAATACTCCCTAAATAATTAGATCCTATACTTTTAAGTGTGTTAATAGTGGCTATAGACCCCGAACTAGTTTATTCTAGTAGTAGTAATACCGGTAATAGGTGAATTCTTAATAGAAAATAGGGTATTCTTATACCCACTAACTATTAGGTTTAGGTACGCACTACTTAGATAAGTAACGAGGTTATCTAAACGCTCTAGAATAAAGTTCTATTCTATGGATACTCTGCTTTAGTCCCTAATATTCCTCTACTATTAATAGTTTAAAATATACCTTCCCCGGTATTCTCCTTACTAATTATACAGAATACGCGGGTACTTTCACGTTACTAATATACCTAGGGCGAAGCTATTAACTACTAGACGCTATAGGTTAGGTAGCTACTTAGCCGGCACCGAAACTACCTAGCTAGGCGTATATATAGGCATAGATCGTAACCTAATATATATATACGTGCCTTTATTATTAGGCGATCTCCGTAAACTAATATATATAATAAATATCTTAATATAATAGTTTACTTTTACCTCTATAATAGGATTATTAATATAAAAAGCCACGGAGTAGTTTAAAGGGGTAAACCGGAGGAATCTAATCGCCTTCTTAAATAAGAACTCTATTATTCGTATACGTAGAGAGTCCCTAATATAGTATACTTATCTAGTTATAGGTATAGGCGATCCACTTACTACTAGGTATACTAAGACGCTATAACCGTCTAAATATCTATAAAATGATATTTATAGTTATTAGAATAACTAGGGTTAAATATAACCGATAAGTTATCTTTACCCCTATACCCTATATAAGTAATATATATAAATAACACTTAGGGACCCACTACTAGCTATTAAGAATCTATAAACCTATATATAGAATACGCCTCGCCCTATAATTATACTTAATTAGGCTAGAGAGCCCTAAACTTCCCGAGGAGGGCTAGGATTTTCTTAACCGTGATTTTATTTAGGTATATTTCCTATAATTCCCCGTTTCTCCCGTCCGTGATTTTCCCGCTTCTCCTATCCGTGATTTCTCCGCTTCTCGTGTCTACGATATCCTATATCCCTTATTCACTAAGTTTTACGCGGGTTTTTATCATACCTGTAATTCCGCTCTTCGGTTTCTAGTATTTCCTACGCTAGCTCCTTAATACTTACGAATTCCCCGCCATGGACTAACTTGACCATTTCACAATAAGGCCTTAACTCAAATATGGAGCTCCGAGATTTCCGATAAGGATATTAACCGTTTTGTTACCGCGGTTGAGAACCTTCGATATCACCATAGCCTCTCCCCGCGATAAGCGAAGGGCTCTTGCAGGCGCAGGGATTTGATGTCGCTATTGACCCTACGTTAGACGTTGCTTGTTATCGCAGGTAGTGTTCCCGATCTGTGATGGTTGTCCCAGGTCCCTGCACCAGTCTCACTAGGAGGCGGTTAGAAGCCAGGGTGAACGTCTCGTGTCCACCTGGTTCTCGGTCCAGGGCAGCAGTGTATATACTTCTAAGATTCCCAGGTCGGTGAACCTGCACTTCCTGCAGGTTGCCATGGTCGCCTTATCTGCCTCGAATTCCCACGCACTCTGCCACTGATGCAGGACAGTATTAGTGGCGCCCGAGTGGCCTAGGCGGCTGCTGTATTCGCCGGTTCTTTACTTATCTAATTCGTGTACGCCTCGGTGAAGATCCTTAAAGCGATATCCTGGAGGATACTACCTGTTCCGGTTCAGCTCATCTGCTCCCTTTCTTAGCTTGTCATTGGTATCATCCTTACGTCCCTCTTTGGCCTGGCGAGGACGGGTTGTCTTGCGTATACGATAGAATTCTTTCTTGCCTAGGAACGCTTCTCCCTTATATCCGCCAAGGCTTTTCAGGTATTTTAGGAACCTGGTTATCCTTGGATATGACTAACGTGCTTTAGATCACCTTATTAGTATATCCACTTTATAGTAAACTTACCGACGACTAATAGGGGTACTCGTTTACTTTACTATCGGAATTATAATTTATAGTTATTATATATTCGTAGGAATTTAGACACTAATACACTACGGGTTTCTATTTATTTATTAGATTACGCTAGTCACTCTCTATTTCGTTTAGGTTATCTTTATTATTATTAAGCTATACCGCGGCCGAAAGAGGATTCCTTTATCGATTACCTCCGGCTTTCGACTTATTCTCTGGGTAGCGTTTAACCTCCCCGTACTCGTATTACCGATCGTGGGCGCTATACGCGGATAGTAAAGCCTAGTTCTTATTTAGTTTTTGCTTTGTGTTGCTGTTAGCCTCGAGCCTGTATCGTGGAAGTGGTTGAGGGGGCGGCTATGTGAGAAGCATTCTCTCGACAGCGAACTTAAGGTGTGACTGGGCGAGTAGCTATTTCTTTGGGATCTCCAGGTTCGTAGGAGAATATTGTATATTCGTTTCCTAACATATAATTCCCTTCTGTCACGGCGCCTTACAGGTCTTATAGGACAGCTAGCACGTTTTCATCGACAGCTAGAGAAGCAGTCCAGTACGCTCTTCCTCTTTATTATTACAGGCTTAAACTCTTTAACGTGCATATTTCCGCAAGAAGTCATAAGAGCCTCGAATAGTCAATCAGTATCCACTTCCGAGATGAGCGTCCCAACTGCAGCAATCATAGACCAGCTACCATTCGAGATTCTCACAGAGATTGTTGTTACACTAGTATTTGGTTGGTCTTCTCCGCCCTTCGCAGATCCAAGCACAGACCTCGTATTCTGTACTTAGCAATGCCAAGGGTCGCCCAGAAGGCTTCCGCAAGCTGGCAATTCGAACTCCATGCTTCTGCACTGCTATGGTTATCTTCCCTTTCAAAGTCGAGCAAGGCCGAATTTACGAGGTTCAACTTAGAAATCATGGAGTTTTTATCTTTAAGGCACGATAGTCCGGAGATATATACTATCGCAGTTACTTAGTAGGATACCCTCTTTCTAAGTGGTTAACGAGACTAGCTATTTTATAGGATATTATCCTTGAATATAAAGACGGCGCCTGGGTTGGTATTTTAAGCCCCCAGGCTATTCAGTTAGAGCTTGATGGGTAATATAAGAGCCTGAAGAAAGGAAGTTTTGAGATGATTGAGATAGGTTTCGCTAAATGTAGGTAATAGTTTAAGGCAAGGAGTGGCTAGTGTGGTGTTTAAGGGCGTATCGGGTGGAGGTCGATTTCTTTATTAGTGTAACTCAATCTTATTAAACCAAAGTTACGAAATAATAAAGCAAACCTCGTCTCTTTCTATTTCAACGTGTTTCCGAATCATAAGGCATCAGCCGCCTCGTATTTCTAAGCTACCTTATCCACCTGATTTCTAAGATAGAACAGATTATTATCTGTAATATACTATTAAAAAGAAGGTATAGCAGCGACGAGATATAATAAATAGAAGTAGCGAGATAGATAACGGCTTTACTTATACCACGCCTACTTTAGCCGAGCCAGAGACGTCTAGCTAGATAAAGGTTAGAAATCGCTAGGCTGGATAAAAAGTTAGGATATACGCTAAATTACCTTATTAATAACCTCGCGAATAGCCCTAGAAGGTCGATTAGAGGATTAATTCTCCTACCGATATAGGTGATTAGTATATCTACCGTAGCGATAATAGTAAGTTAATTATCGAGATCTCGTAACCCTTCGACCGTAATTCTTAGTGCGTAAGAATTCGTAATAATAAATAAGATAAGGAGTAAGAGCCGGGACTAGGTGATAGTAGGCTATAAACCGTATATAATAGGCGTGTGTTAGAATCTTATAATACGATATCTGAAGAAAACGCTTCGACTAGGCGGATACCCTCCGCACGGCTAGTATATTATCGCACCCACGGGCGGTAAAGGGTTATTAGGCAGGTAATTATACGCTTATATCTTCGGCTAAGGGGTCTAAGATCTCGAGTAAAGATAAAGGCTTTAAACCGCTTAACATCGATTTAGGCCCTGTAGTTACTTCTTCTTTTATAGCTATTTATAACTGCTCCTCCCTTCTCTAGGCCTTAATATACTTTGTTAAATCACGACCCTTAACCAGGTATATTGTTCGCCACGCTACCTCCGTATAAAGGTACACGCTATATCTTTTTATAATATTAAAGAGCTCCTGGCTTTTTCCCTAAGCACTTATTTCACTATCGGGATCTGGATAATATCGGTTATAAGTGTAAATATAATAAAGATAGAATCCGGGTTTATTAAAGAAACTACTACGAATAACGCTACTACTCCAGCTTACTATGCTAGTTTAATAAAACCGACCTACTACCGCCGATTTATAAGTATCGACTCTAGTTAGATAAGAGGTTATACTACCTCCGGGTCTAGAAGATATCGCACCGTCTTCTAGTTAGTAGGAACTTTTACCGCCCCTAACTTAATTCAGGGTTCCTATACTAGATACATTAATAACGTTTTTCGCTCCTTCTCTATAAACAAAGTCAGTTAAGCTCACGATATCTATAGTGCTATATAATAAACCTTTTATTATCAGCGACCTATTTAATATTGGTAATCTCTTAATTTAACGCCTTAAAACTTAACTAGTATATACTAAATACTAATACAGTGCTTACGACACCTACTAGAGTAGCTAATCCGCTAGTTTATATCTTGATAGTGTCTAGACTATCCTAGAATATAGTGTTATTATATAATACGCATTATATATTACGAGTTTAGGTAGGTAAATAGACTCTAGGATAGACTCCACTTAGATAGATATACTACTAAGATAATATATTTATTTAGAGGTAATAAAAAGTATAGTGCGTCCTAAACTCCTATTAGCTTAAATACTCCTACCTTACTACTATAAGGCTTATACCCCGCCTTTTAGCTTTATCCCTGCTTATACACGTATATATACCTGATTCTCTTACCTTTAGAGCTCTACTAATATTTACGCTATTTCTCTAATCACGCTATAGGCCACCATAAGCCTAGTTAAACTTAGCCTTAGGAAAAGCTTATTCGATGATATATAAAGCGCTAAACTAAACCATAATATAGGGGAAAAGTACGAAAGTATAATAAGGGGAAAGCATAACGGGGGGAAAGGATAATAAAGGTAGGGGTGCTTAGCTAACGGAGTCGGTATATTAGGAGTCTCCACTTTCCGCTATATTCTAGGGTATCCTAAGCTTACTCAGCAAAGTGGCGATTAGATTAGTCCACCCTTAATTAAGGGATATATTATATATTATTCCAGCACTACGTTCAAGGTAAGGAGGGAAGGTCCAGAATACAAGTTTAACAAAGAGGGCAACCTAATAACCTGCAAAGAGTAGGCCAACCAAAAGAATAGAGACTAGGGTGCTATGCGGGTGCTCCTTAACGACAAGGGTAGCTAGCGCCTTAGTGCAGATATACTATTATATCCCATCCGGCGCTATACATAATTCCATGCTCTATGCTGCCGATTATAGGCACCTGGATCAGAATCGGGATGCCTAGTACTGGCCCTGATCCTAAGATAACCCCTATATTGCAGATCGCACTTTGCCACTAGCTAGCAAAAGAGCCTGATATGAATCGGCGTAAGATAGTCGATTTTATTAGTAATATTTTTGAGAGGAAGTATCTATTACTAGTATCACTCGGGCCTTAGGTAAGCGTGATATGACTGAAGGTAATAGGTCGTGTGGCCGAAAATCAGAAGGCCGAGCTACGGCACTTCTATCAGAATAGTCTTAAGAGACTAGGGTGCTGGTCGTAATATGTAAGGTTTATCAACGAGTCTGGTATCGATAAACCCTGTATGTTTCGACGAAAGGGGTGGGCTCTAAAGGTGATACACCGGTATAGAAGGCGAGATTTCACCGCGATAATAGACTATAAATCCTTACGGCATATACATAAAAGGGCGTAAAGCAATTATACTGCTTTAACGGAATAGTAGATAAGGCTATATTTAAAGACTTTATTAGCTAATTACTACGTCACTACAGCAAATAGCCAGAACCCGAGACGGTTTTTATTATAGATAATATTACTTTTCACTACTCCGATAGAGTCCGGTAAATATATCGAGATACTAGTATAAAGTCGGACTTCCTAGCCCTATACACTCTAAGGACTAATTCTATCGCAGAGTTCGTTAGGGAAATTAAGACTTATGCTAAATCATAGCGTAAAAGCCATAGGAGTCTGATTCAGAGGGACTTTAAGAGTTATGTTAAGTCGTGTATTAAGGCCGTGGGCAGCCGATAGCGTAGTGCGGAGGGTTATTCCGAAACGCGGGGATTTACGTTAAGCAACCTCCGGAAAGGTGGCGATATATTGATAAAGAACGAATTATGCTTTAAGCTAACCTCTGTATATATTTAGGACCGAAAATAGCGTTACTCCGTAACCCGGGTACGGATAGGGGTATATACCCGGCTTCTTTAGCACCTAAGACGACGATAGGTCGTCACACCATTTCCTACGCTTTGATACGGCCGATTCTGCAATCCGCGAGTGGGCGGATTCGTCCGAGGGCACCAGATTCTACGAGTGGACCGTTTCTGCATTCAAGAAAAGGCGGGATTGAATGAAATTTGTTTTAAGGCGCTGGCTTTGCTTAGCTTCGAGAAGCTTCTCTATCATAGCCTCGACGAGATTTCTAGCAACTACCGATATGATTTTCAACAGTATTTAGGCGGTGGAACGACCGAAAACAGGCGAACCGTATGCGAACAAATAGTCATTTCGATCGGTCGCGTCGTTCGCCAAGGGTGCCATCCCAAGATCCGTGATTTCCTTGATACTGTTACCAAGGAGGGTTCGTTTTGTGAGTTAGATCCTCCTAAGCCTACCTTTATTTCATTCCAAATGTTTCTGGATAATTACTGGACGCGCAGGTTGTGTTGGGAGCTGGATCATGTAGATGCCTGGAAGAGTACATGTGACGAATGGGGGCACAATGATGTATATTAGAGCGGTGGGGATGAAGGGATGATGGGCGGGTTTTGGTTTGATGATAAAGTGTGACGCTCTGGTTTTTCTTCGCCTATTTGTTTTGTCTGTCTATGCGCCAGTATATATGTATTGCCTTCAGAATACTATTGTGATGCCTTTCTGGCACGACTGTCATCACTTGAGGATGCTGACTGACTTAAAAGATTCTGTGAACTCCCTAATTACCCAAGACGACAGAACCTTTAAACGCTCCAGTGCGCCGGCTTGGTACAATGCCATAATATATTCTGGTTTAGAGCTGAATAGAGTGTTAGAATTCGATATCATGATTATGTCGACTCTAGATAGCTCGAATCAATAAACGCTCTATTCTTGTATTATAGGTTAAAGTCGAAACTCTCTACTAAGGATAGGGCCGTCCATTATTAAAGGTAAGTAAAATAAAGGCTATAAAGCGGGAGGTACGCCACTATAGAACGCACGATAACCCTAAGATAGATAGAGTTACAGGGTATGCCCAGGGGAGAAGTGGTAAGTAGAATTATTAATATCCTAAGCACGCTTCATGTATTACCTTTAGGTATATACCGGATTTCCGTTAAATCCAAGTAGCTCCCCGATAGGGGAAGGCGCTAAGGCAGCCTACTAGTAACGATATCCTATAGCTAACCGTAGTATACCTAATCCTAGTAATAACGCAGCGCCTAAAGCCTAGGATATTATTAGTTATATTATAATTTAAGGTAAGGGAACGCTAACGAACGCTAGGATATATAAAGAAGCCGGCCACCGGGTTAGTCCGCTTAGAAGCCGTATTCACCATAATAATCACCCAACTATAGTCACGGCCTTAGGTTATCTAAGGCTCCACTGCGCTTACTAGTTAACCCGCGCCAGCATAGCCTTATATCGGGCGGTATAGGGCCCTGGAAACTCTCTTTCCTAGTCCTCGACTTACGGCGTAGCTTAGCACCGAATTAATAAGCGTATAAGGATACACGGTACGCCTACCAGGCTCCCCCTTTATAGAGTAAGGCTCGATATTTAGCTTTCCCTAAGGACTCTCTCCTCTCTTCTTATTTAGTGGATATTTAATATGCTGCCTTATATATATGGCTAGATAATTCCCGAGCTCTCCTTCGGATCTTTAACCTCTCTTTAACTCTTCTTCTAACTTCTTAAAATCTAAGTGGTAATAGTACGTGGAAAAATCGTTAATATACTAGGTATTAATCCGTCGGGTCTAAGCTAATATATATACCGCTAGGCGATAAGCGGTAATAACTTAACCAGGTCTTCTTAACCCGATATAGAATATACGGCGGATAATACTATCTACGCGCTAGTAGACTAAGACCCTAAAAATTCGGTAGATCCTCTATAAGACGCAGAACTAGAAGAAGGAGAAAAAGGAGGAGGAGAAGAAGATAAAATAGTAGATATAATCACGGCCGCCGTGGCTAATAGCGGTAGTATTCTTTAGGTAGATAAAAATAACCCGGATACTAAGTACTAAGTAGGATATTAGATTAGGCGGGGTGCGCTTAGTATAATCTATAAGGCTACTAGATTATCGGATAGTAAAAAAGTAGCCGTAAAGTTTATAAGTAACCCTTTATCTACTATAACGCTACTTTTATAGAATATCTGCTAATAAAGGCCTAGGAGCGGTATAATTCTCGCCTCATATTTCTACGTCTAGAGGCTTAAGCTTATAAGGCCCTTAATATAGGTAAGAGTCCTTTAGTCGAAGCTATATTAATAATTAGACTTATTAATACCTATAATAGATAGATTACCCGAATTTATTTACTTTAGCGGCTATATCTGCTTTAGAATTCTTATTATAAAATTACTCGGACTATTACTAAAGACTTTATTTAGCCTTTACTGATAAAGATTCTCCCTAGAGACGGTTATATAGGTGGGGATATAGATAGTAGGTAGATACTTAGGATATTATAAGACGGTAGCTAATAGGTCTAGGTATCGAAACTCGAAGAGATATATAAAAGGTACTAGATTTATCGAGATATAAAACCAGGTAATATTCTACTCCGGTAGCCTAATAAGATAACTATTATCGATTTTACTATAGCGAAAAAATATAAGGAGGTTAACTCTAGAAAATACGATCTAAAGGTTAGGATACTGGATTATATAAGCACTAACGTATACTTAGGATATAAGTTATCATGACGAGATAACCTGGAAAGCCTTTAGTATATACTCCTCCACTTTATTAGAGGGAACCTACCTTAGGAGAATATCGGAGCGAAAACCAAAGAGGAGATATATAACAAAATATACAGACATAAACAGGCAGCGAATATCGACGATCTATATAAGCGCCAACCTAGATTCTGTTAGGGCCTCCGGTATATCCGCGGCTTACGCTTCGTAGAAGATCCTAATTATAACACCCTCCGAGAGCAGCTCTCACAGTGCTTAGAGGGTAATAGAGAGCGTTAGGACGGCAGGTACGACTGGAACCAGCCAGCGCTGGCTGCAACCCCGCTGGTGCCTTTCCGGACCATTGACACAGCTGTTGCGACTGAGCAGTTGACCTCCGCGTATGTACCTTCATTGACAAGAAGCTCTACAAGAACAGAGATTCTAGAAAACATCCTCAAGGCGTCCAAGGCCTGGCTTAACCGCCCCTTTTTTACGGCGGAAGACACACCGGCCGAGAGTGGTCCTGTCTTCTATAACTCAGAAGTCCAGACCACTCTTATTGACGTCTGGAAGCTTGTAAATGTCGTTGGCTGGAGCTAACGCGCCGCAGGCACTCCCTCCCGTCAAGACGTTGATCCGCTTACGAAAGATCTGAAACACATGCAATGGCTCTCCCGTCAAGTCTCATGGGAAGTCCTTCTCAAAGGGAGCAGTAAGAAGAGGAATGAGTTGATGGAATGCTTCAGAAAGTTCATAGAGTGGGTTGAAAGCGAGCTGAAGAGCCATAATATACCCGGAGATCAGCCGGTGACAGGATAACCTCAGTCTCTTAAACGTACTTTGACAGCACTTTCTCCTGGGGACCACACGCTAGTCAAGCGCCGATTGGGCGAAAACCCGAGAGATAAGGGAAGCGACGACTAGCTTGTTGATTACTTCTGGGACTATCCTCGGAACCTTTTTCTTCTTCTAGAGGCAATACTCAAGAGCATACTAGAGGAAGCTATACTGATAGGGAACACGAATACTTGTCCTTGAGTCCGAATCGTGACGAGATGGTCTGGGGAATATACTCGCAACACCGACTTCGATGTTTTAGATTCCATTAACATAGATACAATCAGCTCCTAAGCCAACCTTCTTGACGTTTATTGCCCTGAATTCGTCAAGTAACCGAATGTGTTAGATTTGTTGAAGTAGGAGGATGATGCGAAACCGATACCCATAAAGAGTTATGCCCGAATATACTCTTGTCAGGCAACGAGGAGTATTTTGTGCTTCTCCAAACCTGACTCTAATGATATGAGGCAAATTCGCAAACCTCAGAACTTTTAAATCTTTGCTTGCAACAGGCAATATGCTTCACGATTCCTTTATTCGTAACCCGGAAGGTGACCTCTAGCCAGCACTTATTCCCGAAGTCTATCGCGTACATTTCGGTCTAACTGTCGAATAACTTTTATCTCCAGTGTATTTTCGCAATATCGTGGAAATCTATATGCCTCAGTTGATTAATGGCTTCAACTATTCCGATGGTACGCATTCTATCTAATGAGCAAACTCGACGAAACTGATCTAACGTATTCATAGCCGCTTAACGTAAAACCACTCCTCGAGTCCACTGACTTCTCCGGCGCTAAGACAAGTCCATATTTTGTGGAAGGGAGGGGACAGAACGTGTACTGGCAGAACTGCTGGGCTAAGGTGTATGGCAAGGGCCATTCCGAGTCGAGAGAACAGTACCCTCGAGGCGGGCAGCTCGGTTATGTCTGCCGTGTGAGTTTAGGACTGGAGCGAGGGCCAAACCCTCCACTCTCCCTCCCGGACGGCGTATCGCTGCGCTATATCGCCGTGCTCCTTGTCATCGCGCTAACCAGGTTCTAGAGTCGACGGGCCTAGGCAAACGCGCTGCGAGGCAAGCTTACGCTTTAAGGACCCTAACTTTCTGCCCGTCCGTTACTTATTCGAAGCCTATCCCTGTTCCGGCCATAGTATCGCTAGGTTTATAGTGCCGCCGGGAGTGCCTAACAGCAATACGTATATTATATAGTAGGATCCGGATTATTCGTGCTAATATACGCTAGGAACGCACGCTAACCTTTATATAGGTATTACGAAGGTATAACGCTAATATATTCTTACGCTATAATTACTAACGGCTAGGTTGATTCCTTTATACCCTATAAGATAGAAGACGATAGTAGCTATATCTCGGAGTCGGTTTGGAATAACACCTCCTAGTCATAGTAACTCGCTTATCCTCTATCTTCCTCTCCACTATACTAACCGTGGTTACGGACGCCTTAACGAGCTTCGGGGAGCCTAGCCCGCCACCTTCCCTACCGGGCGGTCTAACCCCTTCGACACCCCCTGTCTCCGCCGGTATCCATAACACCCTCTAGTATAGGGTTATACGAGTTACTACCTCTAATAGGCTCCGGGGCTCCCCTACCCGAGACGTTAAGAGAACCGACCGGGTCAGGCGATCCACTCTCTAGCTCCCTCTTTTATATTAGCACGGCGCCTAAGGTATCGGCCTCCCTAGTATCGAGCGCGCTCGTCTTTACCCTTATAGTCTTCCAGATAATAACGGCTAGCTATACTAAAGATTAAGGCGGCTATCGGAGGTGAAAATAGGTTATTAGTCCGGAGTTATAAATCTAGGGTAGGTAGCAGAGCGTATAACCGGTAGTATAGAGTAGCTAGATATTATCTCCCGTACTAGTTTAAATTCTATCTCCTACTTCTATTAGCCTCTTTATTACTGCCTATTTAAACCTCCCTCGCCGCGTACTCTTAACGATATCTGTTTTAAGTAGGCTATTTTAGATATCTATATATATTTTATGCTTTTCCCTCCCTCTGCCTAGAATATCGATCTACTAGGTCCTAGCAGGCCTAGAGCTCGCACCTATATTGCACCCCTATATACCCTCCCTTCGCCCTCCCTATAATATATTTTATCCCTGTTAGGTTTAGCCTCCCCGACTACGGCTTACCCGGGAGGATAAGGTTAAGCCCGGCGATAGCTATACTGCCCTGGCCATCTTAAGCGATTCGGATCGCGACGTATAGCTCGCTATCCTAGAAGAGCTTCGGCGCCTTAATACGTGGGCTGCGCGGCTAGAATCGAGCTTTAGTCCCGAGATCGACGTAAACGCGGATATAGCCAGAAGCATGGTTAGTATGCCCTTCGCCCCGCGGCAACCCCCTAGAAGCCAAAGACTCACTTTCCCTAGTGCCTAGCCGCGCCCTGCTACCTGGGCGGGCATCACTCTAGCTCGGCTATCCCCCGTTTTAGTCTAGTAATGCCGAAGTCACTAGACATAAGCCTCTTAAGCCACGAGGGCCTTAGCTAGCTAGTCGATTAAGGACTTTATAGGATACAGAGAATAGGGAATTTTCAGGGCACGAGTTCTTATTCTATTAGGCTTCCTGAATATAATCTATTAGAACCTCTATCGCTTACTACTTTCCCTCGCGTATTCGGTAATACTACGAGTAAGCTAGTAATAATATATATAAGATATAAAGCTATAATATATAGTATAATGAATTTATAATTTCTAATACTAAGTATAACGCTCTAATAAAGTCTGTTAGGGACGGTTAGTAGTTAGCGTAGTAGAGTAATTCTTCGTTACCCTATCGTAGGAGCTAGGTATACCCCGATACTAGCTATACGGGAAAGGACGGTACACGGGTAAGGCTTATAGCCTTAAGCTAATCCACACGTCTAACCTTAAGCTTAACAAGTGTCCGTGTTCCTCTATACAAGGCAATTATCGAAAATATACACCGGCTTAGAAGGCTAGACAATAATATAGTATCCCGTTAATACGCGTTACTAATAACTATATCGCCCTTCTATAATTATACTAGTAGTTCTATTCTTAGCGTTATACTATTACTAGTAGCTATACTATTATAATAGATATAACTAGTAGCTCTAGCCTCGTATTTCTATATTACTAATAGCTAGCCTTCGTGTATAGTATATTACTAGTAATTCTACTCTTAGGCTACTAGTATTATCGTATCGTGGTATCTAATTACTAGTAACCGCTCTTCGAATATTCCCGATTCTAATAGCTAGATAAATATTTATTTAAGTTACTCGTAAGCCCGTATAAATAAGAGTTAGATATAGAGAATTTATATTACCTAGCTACGAAAGGCTACCCTCACGACTTAACAGGTATGCTAACTATCTAATCCATTTAATCGTCGTCTAGAATCTCCTACCGTAGCCGCTCTCTAAGCGAGGTCGCCGCGCGGGAGACCGTGATAGCGGAGGCGACCTATATCCCTGCTAGCTCGAACGACACCGTCAGCGACGGTCACGACCACGGCGGTCTCCGGATTAGTACGTGCCGCTGAGCACGAGGGAATCCTTATTAAGCCTAGGGTATAATTAGCAGAATAGCGTAACAGGATATAGGTCTCTTATAATCTTATAACTAAATACGCTAAGGCTAATACTAGCGTTAGCTTACTTAGGGCTATAATGGTCTTTAATAATTCGTGGATTCTTAGTAACTAGGTCTTAATTTTTTTAACTATATACGAGGATTCCCTATATCTCCTAAAATGTATTTTCTATATATAGCTCTTTTATATACTAGAGCTGCTACGTTTAAAATTAATATAAATCCCGTAATATAAATAAAAACCGAATCTTCGACTATAAATAATACGCAGAATCTAAACCGACCGCGTAGCCGCCGCGAAGAATCTAAGTCCTAACTTCCGAGTTCTACTTAAAATCTATTAAAAGCGTCCACCCACTTTCCTAAGTAGGATAGGCGGAGAAGGCGATAGCTATAAGAGACGTCTCACTTAATAGTACGTGAATATAGAGGCACGTAGACTAAGGCCTACTCCCCTACTTAGCGTCCTTTACTATTATTATAACCCTTAGCGTTCTATAATACCGGGTCGCGCTTAGCACGTGCCTATAATTAAACACCTTTTCCCGGAACCCTATATATTCGTCTTAGATAATTAATATATTTCTGCGAGCCTATATTAGCTAAACCTTTATGAAGCACCCGATACGACGTAAATTATAAGAGAACGGGAAGGCTTATAGTCGAGAAGCAGGAAATTAAATTCCGGTGGCTTAGCTATCCCTAAAAACCCGGCCGTATAACGACGGCCGTTAATAATATCTTAACCCGGTATATATTAGTGCCGTAGTATATAAACCTGGGCCCGGGATATCACGCCACGAACCACATCCTATCAATAGGCAGGAGCGAGTCAGATAATCTCCGAGAAACCTTAGTATATATTTTATTTAGCGAATATTAGGAATAGGAATAGAGGAAAGCGATCACGAATACACCGATTACTTATATAATAAAGGGATCTATCGTAGGAGAGTTTCTGGGTACGGGGATATCCCTAGTAGTAGCGAGGCGATACGCTATCCGAATAGAGAGCTTAGTACTCCGTTATATAGCTTAAATCTAGAATTAATATATTCTTTAGACCCTTTAACTTACTAGTAATAGCCCTTCTATATAGTTTAGCGCTATCCCCCGGCTAGCTACCCGAAAGTCTATAAACGCCGCTTACCTACGAAAAATAGAGCAGGAATAGTAAGCATGTGCGTTATACCAAAACAGGCCTAAGGGCCTTCACGTATAGGCTAGACGCTATAGCGTCCTACCTATCACTAAACGCGTCGCACGTAAGTAACGTAGGGGGCTCGACGTCTATTCGCGGAGGGCTTATCTTTCTTAAGATAAACTTAGAACCACGCCCGGGACCTTATCCTATATAATAGAAACCTAATCCCCTGACCAGGAACGAAATTTTGTCTTTTACAAACCGTATCCGATAAGCTCCTTATCCTCGTAGTTTATATACCTATTAGAAACCTACACCACTTAGACGTAACCGATCGCCACCTATTCTTAAATGGCTGTTAACCTTAAGGTCTTTAAGAAGGCCCCTCGCAAAGTTAATACTCGCTCGAAGGGCCTTATAAAGAAGGCCATAGCCCTTAGCGGCCATAGAGCGGCTGTTATAATAGAATTCAGGTATAGGGGTCGCGTAGTTAAATTCAGCACCGACTCTCGTCATAACGCTACCTATGGACCAAAACACTTTATTTCCGTGGCTGAATAAGAGTCTCGCACTAAGCCGACCCCAGAGTCTCGCTCTACCTCCCCCGAGCCGACGAACTTACGATAGGCTCCACTTTCCTCTTTCATAGCCACCCGAGTCTCGCACGACTTCCCCAGTGCCGACGACTACGATAAATTTTAATCTTAATAGCAGATATCCGTCTCGACGGCCTACGCCCAGACCGGAAACTCTTATTATCAACGGACCTATCTAAGACACTTAATTTAGGGATAGAGAGTTAGTTATTTTAGGTGTGGGGAGGTGGTGTGGGCGTGCACTGTAGTTTATCATAATATATAGCAGTTAGTGCTAGCGGGTTTTAATCGGAATCATCAATCTTTTTTTTTTTTTTTCGGGAACTTCCGAGTATATGATTTCCATGGTTCTGCAGACGTGTATTGGGTGTAGATCTTCACGACCTGGCTGTCGAATACGTGAGGGGAGAGACCCCACTACGCTAATTAGGACTCCGATAATGGAGGTGTCTCTTGCTCTTTGATAGATCTCGATTTGATTAATTGATTAATTGATTGATTGATTAACCTTTTCTCGCAAGATGAGATACCCCTGGTTCGTCCTTAATAGTCTAGGCAGTTACATTAACAATGCTGCATATTACAAGGCCATAAGGGCGCCATACCTCTTAGTTCTGTTGATATTTTAAGGCGGAGAGCTCTGCCTGCGCGGCCCGGATCTGTTCTTGAAGTTCGTTATATAGGGTAGAGGATGTCCGTTGACTGTCGAAGTAC